TATATATATATATATATATATTAGTATTATTATTCTTTTCTGAACTTAGGATTAATAATACTTATATTAATGCATTATTATTAATATTTAAGCAGTGAGGCATACTTATTATTATTATTATTATTATTATTATTAATACATTAAAACAATTCTGATCTCAGGATTAAATATATTTATATGAATTCATTGTATATTAAATACTATTATATTAAAGCAGTGAAATATACTATTTAGTTATAAATAATAAATAATTTAAATGTTTTCTGATCTCATGATTAATTATAATATGATAAAAACTTTTAATAATATTAATATGAAATAGTATAGACAAGACAACAAAGACATTGTGTTGTTATTGGGTATAAGAACATAAAACAGGACAATTAAATCTAAATTTGTTTAAAAAATATGATATAAACCTTTCATGTTATAATACATGAAAATAGCATAAATAGAACAATTACATTTCTAAGCACTTTGCACGTTTTTTAAAAATGATTTCCCCATTTTGACCCAAATGTTTATGCTTTCCTGTCATTTTAATTTCACGCTAACATCACAGATGGACCTCCTCTCATGTGCATGTGCTGATCTGAAATTATTTGTGTTTTCAGCTTCAGGACTTCGCCAAACTCAACGACAACGTGTTCTACGTCTACAACGACATCGAGCATTTTAAAGGAGAGCCCCAGAAGATCTCCATCAGCTGTGAGGAAGACATTCACGTCACGGAGGAGGTGTATAAGCGGCCGCGCTTCACCCTGCCCACATACAGGTGCACAGAACTGCTTCTTCATTGTTACATGTGGTCTAAACCAGTGTTTCCCAACTACGTAATTATTTTAAATCAGTGCTATTGGTCATTGTCTTGTCCATTTGTGGGTTTTACAAATATTTAACCAATGAAAAGCATTCAAAGGAGCATGTGACTAAACCTCGTAAGGCCATTGGATCCTCAAATTGTCCGTCAAACCTCATAACTCCACCCCGCTTCATTCAGAATGAAGTGCTACTTCTTCACAATGCAAGGGTTAATAAAGAACTGATGTTTGAATAAGAGCAGCCTTTCCTTTACTCAAGAAACGCTGCCTATAAAAGCTAATGTTTTTGTGTGTTTAAAGAGCAGAGAAGAGTCTCATTTGCTGTCTAGTTGTAGCCAATACACTTTTGTACGTTTCAAATATCCTGTGCATTTTTTATATCATGCAATTTTTGGCCAAATGTATTAAACAACAAGAGAAACTGAGCGCCCATATACAGTAGTTACAATAAACTTTATAACCTGCAAACTGATGAAAATGATTAATTTACTGTCTCGGATGCGGCCGTTCTTATGACGGACAAAACACCGATCTCAAAAACCTCCTTGACTCCATTTGAGTATGATTTTTAGAAAATGTTAAGTGCAAGTGTCTGATCATATATGTGACCCTGGAGCACAAAAGCAGTCTTAAGTCGCTGGGGTATATTTCTTGTATGTTCAAAAATATTTAAAACATTAATCTTATAAAATTGTAAAAGTGTAAATGCATTTATGGCCCCTCAGCTTCATCCAACAGTCTGTGTAAATACATCTAATGCCTCTTAATCATTAATTCAAGAGATTCGTTCAAAAACTCTGGACGAAGCAAGTCTTCATTCATTTATTTCAAATTTATTTCAAATTTTTACACAGGCCTAATGAATTCATTTAAAGTAATAAATATTTTTTAAATAGACTCATTTGTAACATTTTAGACATTTATAAATTGACTCATTTATAACATTAAATAACACATTTTGTCAGAATCTCAAGTAAGTTAGCCTACATATGATTTTGTTTGGTTGTATAATGTTTTGTTTTCAGAAGCGTGGGAGAACCGTGATCTATATTCTAAAAATCAATTATCCTTAAAATGTAGTTCTGCAACGCACCCCCCCCCCTTCTTTTGGTTCGTTCCGCGATCCATGCATACAACGATTGGACACAAAGTTCGCAATTTGTAATACAATATTGACTGTTTTTGCTCAAGTTCGCTGATCAAGTTTCAATCAAAGCCACAGCAGAACTGTTGTGTGTCTCCCAGCAACACAGCGGTGATTCGATACTGAATGAATCCACGAATTTGAACGAATCAAGTGAGTCAATGATTCAGTAACCCGTTCATAAAGACAGACGCCTCGATTCTGAATGAATCAGCCGTTTGAATGAATGACTAATGACTCACTCATTAAAACAGTCCTTTACCGTCATCTATTGGTGGTTGTGTTTCATATTTAAAAGTGTTGCATTTTTCCCAACATTTTTAACTTGTATTACTTGAAGCATATCTTGTCTTTTCCATTTATTTTGTTGTCAGAGTGCACCAGAATGCTTCATTTACATGTTAAATCCTCAAAAACTTTCTTCTTTCTTCCACACCCCCCTACAAGGCTTATATTCTGAACTATGTCACCTTTTTAACCTCTTGTGAGTTTGCAGGTATGATGTATAAAGCCAAAATACTAACTCTGATGATGCATTGTTTGTTTAATTATTGAGAGGGAAAAAAAAACTTTCCTCCTTTGTATATTTATGTTTTTTTTTTTTAATGCTTGGTGTGCCGTGGAATTTTTATTACTTACCAAAACTGTGCCGCGGCAGAAAAAAGGTTGAGAAAAAGACAGAAAGGCCTACCATAACTCATTGGTTAAGAGAAATATCTTCATGCATTGCAATGGAAAAGATAACCTATATGCTTAAGGGTAAACCAGCTAAATTTAAGAAAATCTGGAGTCTATTTTTATTATTTATTGAATGTAGGGATATTAACAATGTAATAGAGGATCAAAATTCTCGATTGGGTATTTAAATATATTTTACAAAAAAAAAAGGTTGGGAAACACTGGTCTAAATGGTTAATAATAATAATGATATAAATAAAAAGTGTAAATGTGTTTGTGCAGGTATTATCGTCTGCCTCTGCCGATGGATGGAGCGCCACAGGAGGACCAGTTTGACGCATTTGTGAACGTTCTCCGGGTAAGAAATTCTCCTGAAAACACCAGCATGAACTCCATGACCTTTCTGATAATTGCGCTGTGATGTAAATCGATGCATCGGTCAGCTGATATAATGTGAGAGGCATAAACACATCCGCGGAATAGTTTTCTCGTGATGCTTCACGCCAATTCAGCCGGCAATGTGATTAAAGCCTCTGAAGATGTTTGACATCTTTGAGACGGTGGAATCTAAACACGTCAGATGCTTTAAAGGGGTCATAGGATGCTACATGCAATTTTACAAGTTGTTTGAACTGAAATGTGTGTTGGCAGTGTGTGTACACAACCACCCTATAATGATAAAAATCCACCCAGTGTTTTTTTTTTATCTGGTTAAATGTTTTCCCCTTTCTCAAATCGAGCCGATATCAGATGCCTGTCTGTGTGACGTCACACAGACAGGCCGCTCGGAAGAGAGGGGCGGGGTCAGCAGAGCTCATTAACATTTAAAGGAAAATGCTACAAATCTGCTTGCTCTGAAAAGAGCTGTTTTTGACAGGGTAAAAAAAGGTGTTTTAGACTACCATTGAGAAATTTTAACCAAACTATGTTACAGACTTTTCATTAAGACGCTAAAAAATCATATCAACTTGTGGAAAATGGGCATCCTATGACCCCTTTAAAACGCGTCGGAGCTGTAATATATAACGTGTTTAGATAGAAGGAAATGAGTTAATGGAATATTCTGGAGTCTGTAGATCATCAGACGGACTGAAGACAAACGCTCTCATTCAGTTACAAAACAAGAGCAGCATCCAAACCCAAACAAAACCTCATTGTTTTCTCTTTCTCTGCACAGCACTTATAGAAATGTATACTCTAATCATTTTTTGCAGTGTAGTTTGAGTTTTGCTTAAAACAAGAAACAGAATTTTATTTTAGGGTCCGTTACACGTTGCATGTACTTACTGTAGTAATAACAAAAAATATGCATAATTACATGTAACTAACCCTATCCTAAGTACATGTTGTTAATTAATTACTCGGTACTTAAAGGCACAATATGTAAGTTTTCGCTGCTAGAGAGCACGTATTCAAAACAAACAAAGCAAAATATGAGTGTAACCAAAAATTAAAACTCAATATTATTCTATATGCAATTATTGCATAGCCTATATTTGCTCAATCCAAGAAAAAATATTAGTCAAGCTTTACAATAAGGTCCCATTAGTTAATGGATTAACTAGCATTGGGCAATACGTTTGTTTTATTAATCTTAGTTAATAAAAATACAACTGTTCATTGAATATGCATTTATTATTATTTTATTATTATTGTTAAAACAGTGAATTATACCACTTAACAACAATAAAAGCAACAATCATAACAATAATAATAATAATTACAATACAAAAATGTAAAAATTTTTTTTTTTCTGATCATAGGATTGTATTATATATATGAATATGAAATTATTATTATTATATAATTAATTAATTAATTATAGTAATTATTATTAAAGCAGTGAATTATAATATTTAATAATAATAATAATAAACAAACTGTTTAAAAACAAATTTACTATGCACTGATTATGTATTTTATAATAATAATAATAATAATACAAAAATGTAAAGTTTTTCTGATCATAGGATTGTATTATATATAGGATTATGTATAGTAAAAATAATAATAATACAGCCTTTATTTATTTATTTTTCTACAGATAGATCTGTCAGTCTATCACTAGTTTTACCATGGTAAAGTCTGTCAGTGTGGTGTTTTTGTCTATTCAGAGCTCAGTTTGTGTGTTTGCATCAGTCATGTGCCCGATGAATGAGACTTCCTTCTTGTCTTGTGTTTCCTGTTTCTCAGGTTTATGAGGACAGAAGCTGAAGCCACAGATTTGTCGAGTTTAAGATTAGAAAGTAAACCACAGGCTGACTGCGCAGAAATGAGTCCATCTCTGATAAAAGCTTCATATTCTGTGTGATATGATGCATTCTGGTCATGCAAATCCCCAGAATGCTTTTAAAGGGGTCATAGGATGCCCATTTTCCACAAGTTAATGATTCTTTAGGGTCTTAATGAAAAGTCTGTAACATAGTTTGGTTAAAATTTCTCAATGGTAGTGTAAAAAACCTTTTTTACCCTGTCAAAAACAGCTCTTTTCAGAGCACGCAGTTTTGTAGCATTTTCCTTTAAATGTTAATGAGCTCTGCTGACTCCGCCCCTCTCTTCCGAGCCGCTCTCAGAGAGACTGTTTACTTTAGCTGCATTCATCTTCATTCATGCATTCAACTTGCTAATTAGCACATTATTAGGAAAGGTGATTTGCAAAGATTTGTTAAAAAAACCTTATACTCACTTCTTCTGTAGGTGAGGCTGGATCACGAATGATTCGTGCGAACATAGACGCATTTAGGTAGATCAGGGGCGCATTCCCTTCAGAAACAAATGTAATCCACTGCGTCTTCAGCGGCTCAGATGTCGGGAGTAAATGACGACTGCTATGTTCATTATTACATCCAACAACGAAACAACTCAATCGCTTAGGAGTCATTCTTGTCTACATCTGCTCCGGCGGTGAAACAATGGCGGACTGATGACAGTCACTCAGGGCGGGGCTAAGGTAAGACACCAGTCCAGTCTGTGCTGAAACGCTACTGTCAATCAAACTATCGTGGGAGGGGCCTGTTTTTGTGTCGTCACACAGACAGGCATCTGAGATCGGCTTGATTTGAGAAAGGGGAAAACATTTAACCAGATTAAAAAAAAACACTGGGTGGATTTTTATCATTATAAGGTGCTTGTGTACACACACTGCCAACACACATTTCAGTTCAAACAACTTGTAAAAGTGCATGTAGCATCCTATGACCCCTTTAAAACAAGCTGTTTTTGTTGCATATGTCGGCAGTGCATGGGCGGCGAGAAATCATTTGTCTATTTAAAGCGTCCTGACAAACTGCAGGACTCGAGCTGTTATTTTAGCCCTGCCAATATCAACATCAAACATATTTAAGGTTTTGTTTAAAATAAAACCAAAAGTTTTTTTTCAGGTAAATAAGCTAAATTAAGGATTCCCAAACTTTTCTTGTCTGCCAAACCCCGTTGAGGTAAAATATTTATTTTTAAGATTTTAAGTTAATATAAAACATTTACAATTATCTGAAGGTTGTTAATGGACACATGACATGCATGTAAACACATTCAATTATTTTATATTATTTTATATAAAATAATTTGTATATTTTTAAAATACATTTTATATTTTATATATTTAAAATTATTTAAATAACATTTTTATAAAAAAAAATCATTTTAATTTTGGTCTGTTATTTTAGTATCATTGAGATACTTTTATACTTTTTTTTTTATATTTATATTTTGAATTTGAGTTTTATTTTTGTAATTTCATTTTAATTTTAGTTAAAGTTTTAGTTATTTTGTTTTGTGTTGGTCATTTTTATTAGTTATTGTTTTAGGTCTATATAGTTTTTATTTTAGTACATCAAGTTAAACTATGAAAATGATAAATGTTTCTTTGTCAACTGGCTGAAATAAAATACATGTTATAGATAGTTAAGGCAAAATACATTACCAAGAATTAAGTAGTCAGACATTCGTCAGTCATAAATACTGACGTTAACATACAGGGAAAATATGTAACGGACGCCTCGCAGATACAGACGGGGTAAATAATGTTTTATGTTTTGATTAAAAGATTAACATTAACCGGCTGCATATCATGTTGTTTATTACTTATCAGAGCTGATGAAACCAGAGATTTGCACTAAATAAAACCAAATAATCCACATAAAATGAAATCAACAGATGCAAGAAGTATTCGATGAAGCCTGTGTGCATGTTTACTCTAACTGTATAGAGATTTTCACGAAGGAAATTAACGAATATCCTGCTAATTTGTTCTGACTTTGAAGCATAGTCTACTGCCACATAAAACTAAAGACCGGCTGCATATCATGTTGTTTATTACTTATCAGAGCTGATGAAACAGAGATTTGCACTAAATAAAACCAAATAATCCACATAAAATGAAATCAACAGATGCAAGAAGTATTCGATGAAGCCTGTGTGCATGTTTACTCTAACTGTATAGAGATTTTCACGAAGGAAATTAACGAATATCCTGCTAATTTGTTCTGACTTTGAAGCATAGTCTACTGCCACATAAAACTAAAAATATGAGCTGCTGTGAAAACAGAGCTGTATGTGCATTGCTGGAAATGTGGTGACGCTCAGATGAACGGACTGAATGCTCTTGACTCTCTCGTTCTGTCAGGAGAATCCGTCTCTGTCCTCGAGTCGTGACACGTCGCGGTCTCTTCCGGCTCTGCTGTTTAGCTGTCAGGTCGGCGTCGGCCGAACCAATCTGGGAATGATCCTGGGATCTCTGGTGATGATGCACCTCACACGAGCGGCACAGGAGCCGACAGCACCGTAAGACCCCAACACATCCCATGATCACACTAGCACTCAGAATGTTAGGGGGTCGGTAAGATGTTTTTGTTTTTGAAAGATTCTCTTAAAAAAACTAAGACTCTCTACTCATCAAGGCTGCATTTATTTGATCAAAAATACAGTAAAATTGTGAAATAATATTGCATTTTGAAACAGCTGTTTTCTATGTGAATATCTGTTAAACTGTAATTTATTCCTGTGATCAAAGCTGTATTTTCAGCATCATTACTCCAGTCTTCAGTGTCACATGATCTTCAGAAATCATTCTAATATGCTGATTTGCTGCTCAAGAAACATTTCTGATTATTATCAATGTTGAAAACATTATATTTGTGTGGAAACCGTGATACATTTTATTTTTCAGGATTCACAGATGAATAGAAAGTTCAAAAGAACAGCATTTATTTGAAATAGAATCTTTTGTAACATTATAAATGTCTTTACTGACGCTTTTGATTAAATTAATGCATCCTTGATGAATAAAAGTAATACTTTATTTTTAAAAAATCTTACTGACCAGAAACTTTTTGTATATTCATTAACATTTTTTTGCATGCTTAAGAATGTTTAATAAAGATGTGTATTTGTGTATATTATGTGCATTTACATTTAGTCATTTAACAGACGCTTTTACCCAAAGCGACTTACAAATGATGACAATAGAAGCAATCAAAACTAACAAAAGAGCAATAATAAGCAAGTGCTATGACAAGTCTCGGTTAGCCTGAATAACGCAGTACACATAGCAAGGTTTTTTTTATGTATACAGTTAAAGTGTAATTTTGCATTTAATGTGAATGTTGTCACATGTTTATAGAGCTGAAGAGGATGCAACAGACAAACCCAAAATTCAGTTCCAGGTTATTCAGACCCTCATCAGTAAGCTGCCTAAAGGTCAAGAGGTCATGGAAGAGGTTTGTATTTGAATGTTGTTCAATCTAATATTTCTATATAAACACTGAGAGATCCCAGATGAGCTGTTGACCGCGTCCTGCTGTGTTTCAGGTGGACCGAGCCATCGATCTGTGCTCTGAGATGCACGACATCCGAGAGGCCATTTATGAGAACAAACAAAAACTGGAGGGAATCGGTGAAGACTATCAGATCCAGGTGAGCATCTGCATATGATATTAGTCAAGGTGAATGTGTTTCATTTTTCACTGTCGCTAGAATTAAATAAGCAGTTTTGTGCTGCTTTTTACACAACTGGTCAAAGTGTTTGTTTTTTTTTTAGATTTTTTTTTCATGTTTTAGTATGATTTCTGAAGGATCATTTGACACTGAAGACTGTAGTAATGATGCTGAAAATTCAGCTTTGATCACAGGAATAAATTACACTTTAACAGATACTCGCATACAAAACAGCTATTTTGAATGTTAAAAATATTTCACAATTTTTATTATGTTTGATCAAATAAATGCAACCTCGGTGAGCAGAAACATTCCATCTTAATTATTCTAAACTTCTGACCAGTAGTGTATGCAAACACCCCTTCGCACGTGAAATCAATGGAGGCTGACGAAGACGAATCTTATTCTATCTAGTTTTGCTTGTGGATCACTTGTGTGCAGAACGAGATTTACGGCCCACAGCTGGACAGATTGTAAATAAAGTGTATTTTCTGTTGTCTCTGTGTGTGTGTGTGTGTTTTCAGGGAAGCAGCACTAAAGATTACTTCCTCCATCGAACTCTACAGAGTCTAGAGCGATATTTCTACCTGATCGTCTTTAATGCTTACCTGCATGAACAGGTACAGTGTGTTTTCAAGCCACTCTTTTAAGAGTCACTATTCATTTGCTAGTCATATTTATTATGTTGTTCCTCTCTGTTCTAGTATCCGCTGGCGTTCGCCTCTAGTTTCAGCCAATGGCTGTGCTCTAACGCCTGGATGTACCGCCTCCTCTCCTGCATGAACCAATCAGAGCTCAGAGCACCAGCTGACCTGCTCACGAAAGGAGCTCGAGTTCTGGTGAGAAACATCAACATCATTACCCATCTGACATTGCTTGGAATATATTAAGGACACCAATTATCATAACAACATTTTAGGCAAAGAAGATTTTTTTAGAAGATTTAGTTCAAGAGAAATGGAATGTTACAATTGATGCAACATTCCAAATTCTGTTACATTCACAGTGATACAAAGTTTCAAATGAACTGAATTTAAACGGAACAAACAGCACTGTCAACTCAAAATGAAACGAAGTATCAAAATGAAAAAAGTATAAAGCTATCATAAACGTTTTACAACTCCAGTCTAACTCGTGTGCTATATTTCAAATCTTCTGAAGTCACAGACTACATTTACATGCACATCAGATTTCATTTAAGCTCGGTATAATCGAGTAGTTTATATGATGTTTATATGCATACAGGCATCAGAATATTCCTTGACTAGATTAGTAGATTATGGTGATCTACACATGTATGTTTCCTTTCAGTGTTATGTCTTGGTAGATTTAAAATGCTGCTGTTTGCTCCGTTATTAAATTTATTACTACGTTTCACAATAATTTAAATAGGACTAATATTATCACATTCAAAAATGCCAGACAACAATGGCACAAAATGGAAAGAGTCAGGCCATTATTAATAATAATAATAATAATAATAATAAATACACTGTAGATATAAAAGAATGCTTATTAAATTAATAATATTTTTATTAATATTATTTAAAAAATAGAAACATCTGCCTATTCCAAATAAAGTTTCACTGTATTTTTCTGTCTGCAGGACAAATTGATTAAAACATTTTAACTTGCAAGGTAAATAATTAAGAAACTTAAATGCATTTCTGGAGTAACAGCAAAACAGATTAAAAAAAAAGTAAATTATTAAAATAAATTGATATTAACTCATTATTATTATTATTATTAATAATAACAATGTTTTTTTTTTCCCATTTTGTGCTGTTGTTGTCAGGTATTCTTGAAAGTGTGAAGTGTCATTCTTAATTAAATTAATAAAACTAATAACTGAGCATAATGTTTGGCAGCATCATAATCCTCTTGATAAATAAGACTGGGA